GCAGTGGACTTCTATTTTGAATACCAGGGATCCAGTTGATGTCATGAAGTCTAACTAAAGCACCATTTTTATTTCTATCTGCAGTCCATTTTTCAGAAGGCCCCTCACCTTCCATAAGGATTTCCATATCCAAGAAGCACTTTGTTTCAGGTCTGTTTGGAAAAGGGATGTGTTGGGGAAGTACCTGTGCTTGAGAATTTTGCTCATTAGGAGATGAGGGTGTGTTATGGTTCTCCAAAGTTGCTTTACAAGCATAGCCTCATTGAATAATTTGATATCTTTGAAGCCTAAGCCACCCTGATTCTTTGTAAGAGTAAGAAGTTCCCATCTTTTCCAGTGAAGGCCTTTGACTTTCTCAGAACCTTTGCTCCACCAGAAAGAAGCAATGATATTGGCCACATCTTTGCAAATACTCAGAGGTAATCTGAAGCAGGACATAACATACAAAGGCAGAGCTGTGAGGACAGAATTAATGAGAACTTCTCTACCAGCTGTAGAGAGATATTTGTTCTTCCAGCTATTCAATCTCTTCTTGACTGCTTCAGTCACAAACCCAAAGACTTGTCTTTTGGCCTGCCCAATGCCCAGGGGTAGACCTAAATATTTTGATGATTTCTGCACATGAATGCCAGTGAAGACTTGGCATACCTCAGAGTGATCTGTTGTGGTAATGTTCTTGCTGAAAAACACTGAGTACTTGCTGACATTAACTTTCTGGCCTGAAAATTGTTGATATTTGAGAAGAATTGAATGCAAAACACTGGCTTGGTGTCTGTTGGCCTTACAGAATATTAAGGAATCGTCAGCAAAGAGAAGATGAGTAAGAATAGGGCCACCTCTAGCCAAAGACACACCCCTGAAAAGGCCTCTCTCTTTCTCAGCAGTGATCATAGCAGATAATACCTCAGAAACAATAAGGAAAAGGTATGGGGACAGAGGGTCACCCTGCCTTATTCCCCTTTCAGCTGAAATGTATCCACTTGTGCAGCCATTAATAATAAAAGAATAGGAAACAGTGGTCACACACTCCATAATACATTTGACAAACTGAGGTGCAAAACCCATTTTAAGCATGGTAAGTCTGATGCATTTCCACTCAATCCTATCGGAGGCTTTCATCATATCTAATTTGATTGCCATAAAAGCATGCTTACCAGTTCTATGTCTGTTTAAGAAATGAAGGCCTTCATTAGCAATTAAGACATTATCACTAATGAGCCTGCCTGGAAGGAAAGCAGATTGTGCCTCATTTATGCAGCTGTGAATGCAGTTTCTCATCCTACTAGCCAGGATTTTTGAAATAATCTTGTAAACAACTGCGCAAAGACTAATGGGTCTAAATTGACCAAGATTTTCAGGAGCAGCACATTTTGGAACAAGCGCAATAAGGGTGTGGTTCCAGTAGCTGAGTAATTTACCTGATTGGAAAAAGCTAACTACAGCATCACAGAGATCATCTTTGAGCATAGGCCAGAAATGCTGGAAAAAGAGAGCTGGCATGCCATCAGTGCCAGGAGATTTGCCAGGGTTCATAGAGAATAAGGATTGTTTGATCTCATCTTCCTCAACTAGAGCTAAGAGATGATTGTTGTCCTCCTCGGAGATTGAATGGGGAATATGTTGGAGAATGTTGTGCCCCTCATAAGATCCTTCTGATGTAAAGAGATTGCTGTAAAAGTTTTCTACATGCTTTTCAATTTCTTCTTTAGATGCACAGATTCTCTGTTGATC